AATGCACGCGTACCTATAAACTTACTCATTTGCTGATTTACCTTCTGGTCATCGGACGCTTTCGTCTGCCAAGGCTAAATGCGGCCTTGCTGCTTGAAGGGCTCCACTGGTAAGATGGTCTTCACTTGCCGCAGCACGCCTGGAGGACAGGGGTCTGTGGCTTCAAGAGTTTGAAGTACTGACAGAATAGGGTCCTAAACCCCAAACCCCAAACCCTAAACCCCAGTAGTCTGACTGTTAGCCTCTTAGTAGAGCCCTGCTTTTTGCTCTAAGTCTCCCAGGGGCGTCTGAAGCCGGAAGTGGACCACGGTCGGGCCTTGCAAAGCACATCGAAAAGGGTTTAGGATTTAGGGTTGTCTTGCTTTAGTGCTTTGGGCTTAAGGTTGCTTTTTCGGGGTTTGGTCAGGGGTGGCGGCTCGGTTTGGCCATGACTTGGGGATGCGGACGAAGACCTCGGAAGGCTGTTCGGGTCTCCAAGGAGCCAGGCTGAAGCCGTGTTGGATTGGGAGCCCGTGCAAGGAGATAGGAACCGACCCATGATAGGGCCCCAGGGCAAGCACAGAAGCAACAACAATGGTCGGGATCTCACTATAGAAACTCTGCTGTCCTCTTGTGGGCCCCGACCTGAATCCAGTTCCCCTCATCCTAGAGCGCAGCGAACATAGAGGCGCCCCAATGACAGGATTAGGGCTGTGGGGTAATGTAGAGCCCGGGCCTTAATAATGAGAATACGGTTTTGGGGTCCTTTATAGTGTAGTTGTAATAAGGAACCCCCAAAATGATATTGATATGAGAGTAAGCTATTCTTACAGAAGGAACTGCGTGAGAATCATACTGCAGCGCCCTTGAAGATTCGGGGATCCTAAGTCCCCCAGAAGTCCCCCCCAAAAAAGACTCGTGGACCTGAAGTCCCATCGAGTCTCCAAAACCCCAAACCCTAAACCCTAAACCAAAAAAAATGAAACCCGAACCCGATACGCTGAAACCTAAACCCTGAACCTTGAATCCTAAACCCAAGCCTGAAAACCAGCCCAGGGTCTAGCGCTTACCTGGACGCTAAGAACCCACATCTTTTCCGGGTTCCTTATTATGACTTCTATACATGTTTCCTTCAAGAAGGTAGGTGTTGGGGGGGACTATGACTTCTATACACAGTTCCTAAAAAAGGCAGGTTTCTTTTGGGGGAGAGGGGGGGGGGCGAGGTAGAGGTCGGCTTAAGCTCTCCGAGCCTTCGAAGGTCACGTTGGTTTGAATCGAGGAGGCGACGCTGCGCGACAGTGGCACAGGGAGCCAAGGCGAGCCAAAGAGCTGGAGCCCATGGGTTCGCTCCTATCGGGTTTAGGCTTTAGTGTTGAGAGATAGAACGCAAGATTGGAGGAGGGTTTAGGGTTTAGGGTTTAGGGTTTAGGGTTTAGGGTTTAGGGGTTTAGGGTTTGGGTGAAAGGGTGATCGAATTGACGATTGGAGGATTCCAGGGTATAGGATCTGGAGCTTAGGCTCGAGGGTGCCTCAACCCCGGCCATCTCGTATCCTAGAACATGCGAACTCGTACATCAGGGTTCAGGGTGTAGGACCTAAACCCCGATCTCAAAGGCAGGAAATGAGAACTGCCAAGGGCGAAACTCATCTGGCATGAACCAAAGAAGTTCTCAATATCCTGCCTGTGTAGCCCGACCCAGACTTAACTTAAGGGGCTTATGCAACAAGGAACCCGGGGAACGACCCCTCATGTAATATTTCAGAAGATCTCAAAAATCTTTAAGTTCGAGGATGTAGCATACTCCAGCACCGTGCTATTGAGATCCCTCTGGTTCCCGCGGTCCTCGAAGGAACACATGTGCTCTCTGTCCATCAGCTGCCCATTCACGACGCCCTTGCCGTATTCCTCCAGAAGGCTCTCAATGCGGTCAAACTGCCCTAAACCCCGAAACCCTGTACCCCTAAACTCCAAACCCACAACAGCCTCTATACTCTATACCTAATGCCCCAAGCCCCAAACCCAGAATAGCCAACATACCTGAATTCGATCATGCTCCAGGATCCTGTAGGCTGCGAATTTTCAAACATTTTGAAAAAGATCAAGCAGGTTTGTCAGCAACGTTTCCCACACGCTCCTAGAAAATTGAAGCAAACGAAGGGCTTCGGGTTTAAGATTCCGTGGAGTGGTGCACGAAGCTAGGGTTTTCCTGTAAGTAACATGACACTCGAAGCAACCCTGCAAGCTCACCTCACTTCTGAACCTCATTTGCAGAAGCTTTAATTGATTCAACCCTACGCACTCATTCCTTGAACAGCCAAGCCTGCGTGGCGGTGTGGTCAGCTGTCACGAACTTTTCCAAGAGAGGTAGGGGAAGAGGTGCGTGTAGCGTCTTGAAATGGTAAGGGTCCGCACTGTTCATGTGCATCTCACAGCAGTGCTGATCGAACTCCATCTGCCGGATGGTGGCCAGATAAAAGGAACCGTCTG